TTTTTTACGCAATAAAAAATTTTGACAAACTGCGGGGCTATGTTGGGGATGATCTTTGCCGAACATGAACAGAAGAATTTGCTGACGAAGTGGTGACCAATAATTTTTATACACCCTGTACATAATAAGCTATACTTGCTGATAATTTTTTTATATTACACGTGCGTGGAAAGTCGCCCATTACGCGCGTATCTTCTATGCGAGAAATAACTAATTTTACACACAAGAAATTTTCCACTCGAAACAGTGCGGTAATATCTCATTCCCGCACAGTATCATTCATTTCCACACAGTTCATTTCCACAGATCACTCTCCTTATTCCCCAATCATTCTGTTTCACTTTCCACTAGAGTCCTTTTATTTCTCACATGTTCTTAACGACATCTTGCAGCGCGAAAACTAACTCTGCAGATAACAGCAGCGATACTTATTGTAAGTTCTTTGACATACGGTAATTGTATAATACGGTCAAATTTTTTACTATTGTTATTATTGTTACAAAGGCTGACAAAGGACAAACGACGGTGATCCTTAATAAAATTGACTATATAGAAAAAATGGAAGCTAAATGACGCGAATCGACTTATAGAAGAATTAATAAAAATTCTGTTAAAAAGTTAACTAACAAAATGCATTCTCTCATTAAGTCTTAGCTCGATAATAAATTGATAGACGTGACTACTTACAATTATTTAAACGTAACTAACGGGAATTTACCACAATGTTACGGGTTGCCGAAAATCCACAAAGTTGACTTTCCACTGCGAATTATAGTATCGAATTTATGTAGCCCGTTATATAATTTGTCGAACTACATCCATAATATACTTAATAATTCTATTAAAAAATCGAGATCGTTTATTAAAGATAGTTGGTCCTTTGCCGAGAATATTAAAAATAAAGTAATTAATGACAATAAAGTACTAGATGTTACTTCCTTATTTACAAATATCCCGAAAGAATTAGTAATTAGCGGAGTAAAAAAGCGTTGGATGAACATCTCAACCAACACGAAATTCAATCTTTCCCAATTTTTATATGTGATTGAGTTTATTATGGATTAGACAAGTTTTGTTTTTAACGGACGGTACTATGAACAGATTTTTGGTAGTCCTATGGGGTCTCCGCTCTCACCCATATTAGCGGATATGGTGATGGACGACTTAGAGACGGATTGCCTGGAAAGGTTGAGTTTCAAAACTTCGCTGTTTTACAAAAATGTCGATGATATTTTCACAATCATCCCATTGAGGGGTGTTGATGAAATTGTGTCGTCTTTTAATGATTATCATTCGAGATTAAAATTTACGCATGAAATTGAAAGTAATAACGCGATTAATTTTTTGAACACTACTGTGATCAGACATAATGGTAGATTGTTAACTGATTGGTTTATGAAACCCACTTGCTCGGGTAGATATATTAATTATTATTCTAATCATCCTTTTAAATACAAAAGAATACCATTTTTAGTCTTGTTGATCATGCAATTTTATTATCGGACGACTGTTTTCATCAAAAGAACATCTCTAAAGTAAAATCGATATTGACAAATAATTGTTTTCCGTCGGATATTATTAATAAGTTTGTGAATAACAGGTTAAAATTGCATAAGACGCAAAATAATGATGATCGCAATGTGAATAACTCAGTTAGTACAAAATTTGACCGTATTATACAATTACCGTATGTCAAAGAACTTAGTGAGACTGTTTCGAGATTATTACGATTTACTGGCATGCAAAGCGTTTACTGCATACCGAAAAAATTAAATACATTAATTAAACGCGTCAAAGATCCTTTACCTTTAGAAGAAAAAACAGGAGTAGTATATAAAATTAATTGCGCAAATTGTTCCTCATCATATATTGGTCAAACTAAACGACAATTAGGCACACGTATAAAAGAACATTTTAATAATTTTAAAAAGTACACAATAGTAATTACTCAGTCATAAGTAATCATAAATTGGATAATGATCATGATTTCGATTGGTCTGCTCCAGAAATTTTACATCATGAAATACGTAAGTAAACAAGAAATCGCGGAGATGTTTTTTATCAAAAAATTTGACAACACAATTAATTTGCAGAAAGACACGGATAATCTAAATAATGTTTACAAAAAACTAATAAAGGTCGTTTAGTTTGATTAAAATAGTGAGTATATAAGGAGCTCGAAATCGACACGATAACATAGTTATTTTGTTTCATAGTATCATGTTATTATATGATGTCAGATTCTAAGCTCGAATTTTTGTTTTTTAAAAAAAGTTGTAATTTATTGATTTAAGAACATAGGTATGTTTGCGTATTAACGTGTAAAAGTTTGTATAGATTTTATTATTTTTATATTTATTTTTCTAAGAATTGTTAATATTATATTATAGCACTTGATAAGGGCCGAAACCCACGGTCGAAACGTTGTGAATATTCAATAAAATTACTTATTTGCCAGAGTTAGTTGATTGAATTATTACCATTTTTTAATTATCATCTGGTGACTTCATAGTTTTATATCATTAATTTAATTAATTTTTAGTTTTAAGGTATTGTGCTAGTGTATAGGGTAGCTAGAGGTAGTTTTCAAAAATTAAGAGTGGAGCAACAAAATTAGAATTATTGTAAATGGCGAAGAATAAAATCAGTAAAACGTAATTAATTAAAATATCTGATTAATTTGCAACTTCAGAGTATGTTTTCTTAAGGAGATATAGCTTTTAGGGATAGTTCATTAGGGGATTTAAAAATAAAGCAACAAAATCGGGAATAGAGCATTTAATTAGCAACAATTAGTACTAAAAAATGTCGTATTTTTTATTAAAAGAATTTTTTTAATAGCTGTGCTAACTTTTATCTTAAATTAGCACAGTCACTATTTTTTCCAAATCGATTGGAGCAACAAATTAGCAACAAAAGAGCACTAAATTACTACATACATAAATTTTATTCTATTGTGCTAAAGTAGCTGTGTTAGTTTATAGAACGTAGGCTTTCAAAATTATTTGATGTTGTTGGAGTGATTCGTGAGTTACATATTGAAATTCCTGCTCCAGAAGTTTTCTTGCACAATAATTTTTGATTTTTAATGCATTTAATTCGAAAAATAGTCAAAGTTGACTTAATCTATCATGTCAGTTTTTGAACGACCAATAATAATTAATGTAGGGTTTCAAAACGCACCCTTTCTGGTAGTGAACTGCCCCGTAGGGGAGATCCGCTGATAACTGATGATTAAGATATAAGAAAAAATTATTGAGAATGATGTCCTAGACAACATATGTCAAGATCAGTAGAGAAGTATCCTATACTTCGTGATTAATTTTGTTTTTTGTTTTCTTTTTTGAATTTCTCCGTTTCTACTCGTTAAAAAATCCTTCACGGTGTGAATGTGTCCTCTTATGGTTTACACACACACACACACACACACACACACACACACACACACACACACACAAACGCTGTAAGTTTTATCAAATTTGAAAGTAAGGGTTATTCATGTCTTACTTTTATATTAATTTAGTTAATGTTTTATTATTTAATATTATTGGATTTTAGTTAATTCTAATACTTAATTTTTATATGATTATACAAGTTAATCTGTGAACTATAGTATTTCATTTTATTATTAAAGTTTCTTACGTTTTCTTTTTCAAAAGTTTAATTAAATATAAACACACAACTTGTGTCTGCATTTCTGCATGTAATGTATCAAAAGCGATAAGAATAATGCAAACAAAATAATTTTTTGCAGTCCGATAACGAGTATATAGTAACGACGAAATTAAATCAAATTGCCGCAAAACGCAGTCTCGTTGCTTATGCAAATGACCTACGGAAACTCATCATTGACAAAGTAATCGAGTGTCATTGGACTTATAATCTGGAGATATGTGCTACATTTGAAATGCTGAAAGAACGCGCATTGAATGTTCCACAGACTACAAAAGAATTGTTAGAATTAGGTGAGTTTTTCTACTAATCACACGTTGTGTAGTTTTCCTTTGCACAAATATAATTTTATTAAATTCATATAAAAATTTTTTTAAATATTTTTGTTTAAATTGATTTTAAGCAAAGTTTGATATTTTTTAATATTCAAATAAAGCAAATAATTTTTTATATATGTATCAAAGCCGTTTATTTACAAATCAATTAATGTTCTCCGGGAGGCAAGTCCCTCGGAGTAGGTACAATTTTACGGCTTACGTTGTGCGCATACAAAAGTAAAAATAAATTCATTAGCGGAGGACTAGCCCCCCCCCCCTCCCTTACCCCGCCACTGAGCACAATGCAGCATGCGTTGGGGGGGGGGGGGGACCTAAACTCCTTAATTTTGCGAGTATAATGAATAGTTATATAGCTAACTGACCGGCTAACTGACCGGGCCGATGTGTATTCAAGAAAAACGCATAGCAAGGATTCCTGGAACAATCATAAATGGTTAAAAGATAAAAGGTGAACCTAGGGACAAGCACTCGATTTCACACGCGACATTCACACTCAAAACTGCCCACACAATCAGAAACAATTAAGCGCACATATACAATTAAATAATTAGATACAAAAACAAAAATAATAATAATAAAATTAAAAATAAAATAATATAAATATAAATAAGCGCATAGATCAAATAAAATATAAAGCGCATAGATACAATTGACGCAAAATAAAATAAAAATAAAAATAAGCGCACAGATAATAAATAAATAAATAAGCGTATTGTGATACAAAAATAAAAATAAAAATAAATACAAAATATGTGGGCAGGACACACGACGTTCACACTCGGTATAAATCAACGCGGAATGCCGCTACTAATTATCATTGGCAGGCTAATACCGGCGAACCGTTCGCGGTGGAATCGCGAGTACCCTGTCAGCGAAGGGATGGGTAAAAGCGGCGTACTGACGCACGCCAGACACATGCTCCACGTAAATGTCCCGTGATCAGCGAATGGTATCCGATACAAGATCAAGGCGGCGCATCAACGAAGCGTACGCGCTGCTAACGCGCAGTACTCGGAACACCGCTTCGTTCATCGGATCCCATGAGTCGAGGGCGCCGACGACGAGGGCCGTCACGATCATGGTCTTACATAGAGATCCTCAAAACGAAATCGAAATTTGAGAATAGGAATTGACTCTCTTCTTGTCCGTGTTTTTAATATTTGGGTTTGCCACTATCGAGTGTGATGCTACTATCGAGGGAAGTATGGAAGCGTAATAACTTGCAATAAAGCATTTGATTTCATTAATGTCTGAATACCATACGTCGTGTTTTGCTGTGGATCTTTCATTAAAAAATTAGTTTAAATGAAACGACGAAGAGGTGTGTAGTATCGCGATGCCAAACTTTAAAAGTGCGAAAAAGAAGTGTTCTGTTTTTATACCTAAAATGCCGTCAGATATTGAAAAACGTGAAAAATGACTAGCTGCAGTTCCTGGCATTACTAAATTAAAGCAATCGTAGTTTGTTTGCGAGAAGCATATTGAGGAGCGGTACATTCTCAGAAAATGAATAAAACAACTCGAATGGTATAATTATTGCTGAAGTAAGTTACTTGCTGTTATTTATATAATTAAATTGGTTATTACACATACTATTTCATCTTGTCTTTGCAAATTGCTAATTTTGAAAATTTTAATTACATTGTTTTAACCCATTTTGTTTTTATTTAAGGTTCCATACAAGCATCCTTGACTCGATGCGTCCGTTGTCGCTCAATATTTGACAATAATGTATCAATTCATTTTGTCAATACTACGATAGAATATTATTTTATTGTTTCTATTCTGAAGTTAGATATTCCAATAGATTGAACATGGATCCAAACTTTTCTGCTTTTCAATCTATTGATGAATAGATGAAGGAGTCATCTTACATACAAAGTATGTATACTTTATTATTTAAAAAAACATTCTATAAACACTAAAACTATGAAAGATTTTTATATTCACAATATATTGCAAAAAACACTGTTTTAGAACACCAAAATAATGAAAAATTTTCATAACCTTTTTCTACAACTTTATATATATATATTGTAACCGTATTTTCTTTATAAGCTCGAAGGAAATAATCCACCGAAAATGTAGGGCCGATCTCATTGGCCTACGGCACACTTTCGGCGCGGAAAGCAGGAAATTCGCGAAAATACAATCTTTCTTGTTGTCTTGAGCGCCAGGCGCGGAATTCGCGCCACACTAAAAATTCACAAAGAGTTAATAATCTCAATTATTCATTGAAACATTCCGAAATTTTCCGTGACGGCCATACTCGACTCGCTCAGAGCGTCAAGGGGTAGAGAGGGGAGTTCGGATGAGAGAGAAAACGGTATTCAAGAGTGGCTATTGAAAAATCGTTCGGTTAAATAGTAAAGAGAGTATATTATCAATATGTTAAAAGACAAAAAATAATAATTGTTCAAGTAATATGGAGTATACAAAAAAAAAACAAAAGTTTACATATGATATAAAAGTTCAGATCCGCGGGCGGATAGATAGCATAAAGATCGCAATAATATATGACAAAGAAAATATAAAGAAAATGAAATAGAAAATGGAATATAATGGAAAATGCAATTACTCAATACACGACTATACTGTAGTTTATACACGATGACTACAAGACTCTACGTGACTACAAACAAACAGGTTACTACATGACAAAAGTACAAGTAAAAGTAAAGAAAATCGCAAGGAATGTCGGCGTATTCGCGGGAGAGAGAGAGAGAGAGGGATAGAGAGAGAGCCTCTTTTAATTTATTCGCGGGACAGAGCACGCGGTCGGCCGGGCGCCGAGACAAGGATTATACGCGCAATACTTTTAACTTCTCATAAACTCTCAAAAAAAGAATAATTAAAATAAGTAATAAAATTAAAAGGCCAACTTAACAAGCTAATTGATTAGATGTTGAAAATTTTTTATTCTACGTCATGAAAATAATACAAATGATAATTAGTAAACGTTTCAACTGTACGACAGTCTTTATCAATACAATTATCTCTTTGCTAACATATCAATAAATTAAATAATTTGGAAAGACAGAACTTATCATACATATAAAATATATAGACTTATGAAAAAACGCAGTATAACACATCATACTTGTTGGCTTGAATTACGGCTGATCGTTCGAATTAGTCGTTAAAGAGCCTAATCTCGAACATCAGATTTCTGTAGTTCTTTTTGAATAAAAGTCTAATTTTGTAATCTATGATGTAATAATATGTAATAAGATTTATGTCGAGACGATAAAACTTCTTTAAAATATTTCTTATTAAAAAACATTATAAACAATGTGTACTTTATACGAGGCAAACCCAATATCTATACTAAAAGAATAATTATTCGACGGCCACGAATGTTACACGTGTGTCTCCCGAATTACATACGCGAAATCAGCGGCTTTACAAATGGGTCCGTTCGTCTTACCGGCATCGTCTCCTGTTCTGTTTCGGCATCCAGGATCGGGGACCTCTGTCTCTCACTACGTTCCGCTGGATCTCCTTACGTCCTGCCTTATCTTGGCAGGGTCGCCGGGCGTCCCGCGGGACCCGCGAATTTGATCATTAATCGATTCCCTCGTCGTTTCTCCGATTCTTCCGCCTATCCTCCGGTGTTTCTCCTTACGAATTTTGCTGAAGGGCCTCCTGGCCTTCCGGTCTCTGCTATTCTTCCAAAATCCTCGATCGATTGATTGATCGGTCGTATATTTCGCAGCAGGAACGGTCAGGCCAGAGGCAGTGTATCTCCCGCACTTCTCGTCCTCGGGGCTCTCTCGCGCCTCGCAAGAGAGTAGCCATTCCCTTATATTTCCGGATTACCTGCGAAAAAGGGAGTATTTAACGGCGGTATCGTTTTTCTTGTTGTGAGGTGCAATTAGAAACATCTTTGCATGCGAACATAATTACCGGACGTGATCCGGGATTGGTGTCCTCTGCTCAATCCGTAGTTCTCTTCTTCGTTCTTCATCCGTTCCGATCGAGACACGTAACTCTAGGCAAAAGCCGCTCGCAAACGCAAAAAGTCGCTAAACAAACATAAAAGAAAACGCGGGATGGGTGTGAACGTCGCATCTCTTGCACAAAACTCGAAAAATTTTAACAGGGCTCTCTCTCTCTCTCTCTCTCTCTCTCTCTCTCCCGCGAATACGCCGACATTCCTTGCGATTTTCTTTACTTTTACTTGTACTTTTGTCATGTAGTAACCTGTTTGTTTGTAGTCACGTAGAGTCTTGTAGTCATCGTGTATAAACTACAGTATAGTCGTGCATTGAGTAATTGCATTTTCCCCTCTCTCTCTCTCTCTCTCTCGATTGTGAGAGGACGCAGGCCCCCGAATTTCCGCCTTTCCGACCGGGCCAACGGCCTTTGTGACGGACAGAAAAAATGTCACGTTACAATATAAATATTCTCAACTTCTCATAAAATTCAAATTGGCAATAAACCAAATTGGCTTTAAAAATTGTCATTCTCTTTGTCAAAACTAATTCCTTATATTCTTGTTGCAGACGTGAAAAACAATATGTTTCAATGATAGAAAGAGATGTAGTTAATACAGATATACACAAGCTTGAGATTCTTTTACCGATGAAGCTGATATCGAGAAGATTCAGAATCAAAAATTGCAGAATTGGCCAAAAAATTCTACAACGCATGAGAAGAGTTTTGATATTCTTTCAAAAACCAAAATAATCGTTTGTAAGTAATTGTAATTTATGATAAAAAGAAATAATGCAGAATTTACATTGCTTCGATATCCGACGTATGACGTCCGATATCCAATAAGAAAATTTGATTTGTACAGACTTTTTTTGCTAGAAACTCTAGAAATTAAATTGTTTTATATAATATGTATACATATATAATTAAATCGGCCTAAGAGCCAACGCGTGCGAAATTAATTCGTTTCGCGGATTTTTTTAAACATTTGACAAATTGTCAAGATTTAATTGGGAACTGTGTCTCTTGGTTTGAGACTAGCAGTCTCTTTAGTTCTCTTTAAACCTTTTGCATATTATATTTCTAAGATAAATTTTATTCTTTTGTGAAAAGAATTGAATATTGTTAAAATTTTTATTTTACTTTATTTACAACTTAATAGACAGGGCCGTCTTGTTATTAGATCCTATTTGCCAAATATTGCAAAAATATGCCAAAATATTGTAAATTCTATACAAATGTTAATTGACAATGGGTATCCACTGCAATTAATTTTCAAATATATTAACTTAAAGATAAGAAAACTATCCAGGATAAAGTTCATGAATGATATTGGAAATAGTTGTGAAGATATGTCACAAAAACCACAAGAACAGTTTATAGGATTTCCGTACATCAGGGAGCTCTCAGAATTTCTTAAAAAAACTTTTAGATCTACTAACAATAAGTTCTTTCCCGGTTATGGATGCTTTAATAAACTTAATAGATTCATAAAATTGCACAAAAAATTAAATAATAACATTATTACAAAAGAAATTGCAACGATTGTGATGCGTCATATATAGGCCAAACCAAGAGGAAATTAATTACAAGAATTAATGAGCACAAAAGAAATATTAAACAAACATCAAAATTATTAGTCATATCTCAACATATCATAAATTTAAATCATTCTATTAACTGGGAGGGCACTAAAATTTTAGATCATGAAAGTAATTATTTCAAAAGATTAATTTCAGAAACAATTTATATGAAACAACAATGGCTTGAATTATAACGAGGACACAAAATCGTTAGACAAAAATTACTATCCGTTACTTGACACAATCAACAAATCAACAAATTATAAACATATCTCACCTTGATGTTCTACTTATAAAAGATTTAGATTCTGAGAGATCCTTCATAATAATTTAATAACAAATACAGCACAATTAACCATCAAGATATTCTCAAGCTATAAGTTAATGTGAGTATTACAATGACGATATTATTAACAATTTGATGTTTCACTATACGTAAGTTTCAATTTACACAGATAAACTATTTATACAGATAAACTACATATTACATAGACAACATTTTCAAATGCTTAATCTCATCTAGATTTGAGAAACATATGGATATTGCGTTTTGACTACGAAGATTATCGACTAAAATATGACTACTGACTTACCGATTTAATTTACTTTATAATTCCATATCAATTCTTTTAATTAATTTTTCGTTTCGTTTCCTTGGCTCTATTGCCCAGCTTAAAAGACAGCATACTTATATTATTTACTTTATAATGTTAAGTTTAATATGATTGAAAAGACACAAGTGAGTGTCGAAACGTTACTATGTATTAATTTGAATTGTATGATTTAGAAATATATATTTATCATTGTCAACTAATAACCGCTCGTCTAAAAACGTCTTATATTACCTCATTGTTTATGCGAGCTATTGTCACTATCATTTATGTTTAATTATCTTTTGAATTTAAGCGATACTTTCTTTCCTAACAATTTAGTTATTTTCTTTTGAATTTAAGTGATACTGCATCTATCTTTATCCTTCTTTTTAAATAAAATATGACATATTTAAGTCTCGCTTAAAGTTAAAATAATGTTAATGCAATCGTGCCTTATAAGAACAAAAATCATGTACGTTTATCTCAGCGCCGATTGGATTAACAAACTATTTAGTTAATTTGTATATATATAATTTACGAAGGTTAATTCAGTTAGTAAGATAATTCAGTTATTTTTCTAATATATTATTGTCATATAAGTTTTATTTGCTGTTTTTCTTTCTCTAATATTAAAGCAATTAGTTTGAAGGTTTAATATGCATGCGCACGAACTATGTGCGTGTGCATACTACTTTCCTCAATCGCTGCGCCATCTTGTGAGCACAAGTCAAAATAATTTTGAGATCAGTAGCGAAGCGAGATTTCACTTGGTTTGCAACTTTTCTCGCGAAGCGAAGTTCAACGTTTAACCCAAATCTATGTGTCTAGTTTATTGATAGTGGAACCCCCCCCCGCAGGGGGGGGATTTCCAAAGTATGCCTCTATGCATACACTATTTAAAGCAAAATAAGATACCACATAGGTTTAGAATTTTCTATGCAAAGCGAGATTTTACATAAATTTAAAATTTTCCACGCAAAGCGAGTTAATTCAAAAAACTATGATAAGTGCTATTTCAGTTATACCATTAAAAAAATTTTTAATAAACAATGAGAGATAGCTAAAATCTTTTAGGTGTTATTTAGGATAATGATCTTTACAACACATGTCAAGGTAACAACAGTGTTTCGTTACTCCGTTTAATGCAACATTTGGAGAATTTACTTTTTATGTAAAACTTTGGGACAATGATTCGTTGCGGCTGAAAATTTTGTATATTATGTTGTTTTTGTATCTATCTTCAATACGTAAAAGGGTTACCATAAACTTGAAGTATTCCATTCGGAACAATATCCAAATCTTTTTATGTGAAATATTAAAAAATTGCTTTGATTTGTGTACATATAAAAACTATTTAATGATTAAAAAATGGTAATGATTCAATCGACCAACTCTGGCAAATAAGTAATTTTATTGAATTTTCACAACGTTTCGGCCGTAGGTTTTGGCCCTTATCAAGTGCTGTAATATAACATTAATAATAATTAAAAAAATAAAAATAATAAAATATATAGAAACTTTCACACGTCAATACGCAAACATATCTACGTTCTTAAAACAAAGTAAATCACAACTTTTTTTAAAAAACAAAAATTCGAGCTTAGAATCTGACATCATATAATAACATGATACTATGAAACGAAATAACTATGTTATCGTGTCGATTTCGAGCTCCTTATATACTCACTATTTTAATCAAACTAAACGACCTTTATTAGTTTTTTGTAAACATTATTTAGATTATCCGTGTCTTTCTGCAAATTAATTGTGTTGTCAAATTTTTTGATAAAAAACATCTCCGCGATTTCTTGTTTACTTACGTATTTCTCATGATGTAAAATTTCTGGAGCAGACCAATCGAAATCATGACCATTATCTAATTTATGATTACTTATGACTGACAATGAGTAATTACTATTGTGTACTTTTTAAAATTATTAAAATGTTCTTTTATATGTGTGCCTAATTGTCGTTTAGTTTGACCAATATATGATGAGGAACAATTTGCGCAATTAATTTTATATACTACTCCTGTTTTTTCTTCTAAAGGTAAAGGATCTTTGACGCGTCTAATTAATGTATTTAATTTTTTCGGTATGCAGTAAATGCTTTGCATGCCAGTAAATTGTAACAATCTCGAAACATCCTCACTAAGTTCTTTGACATACGGTAATTGTATAATACGGTCAAATTTTGTACTAATTGAATTATCGTTATCCAGATTACGATCGTCATTATTTCGTGTCTTAAGCAATTTTAACCTGTTATTCACAAACTTATTAATAATATCCGACGGAAAACAATTATTCATCAATATCGATTTTTTTTAGAGATGTTCCTTTGATGAAACCGGTCGTCCGATAATAAAATTGCATGATCAACAAGACTAAAAATGGTATTCTTTTTGTATTTATAAAAGGATGATTAGAATAATAATTAATATATCTACCCGAGCAAGTGGATTTTGTAAACCAATCAGTTAGCAATATACCATTATGTTTGATCACAGTAGTGTTCAAAAAATTAATCGCGTTATCATTTTCAATTTCATGCGTAAATTTTAATCTCGGATGATAATCATTAAAAGACGACACAATTGTGTCCCATATTAGCGGATATGGTGATGGACGACTTAGAGACGGATTGCTTGGAAAGATTAAGTTTCAAAACTTCATTGTTTTATAGATATGTGGATGATATTTTCACGATCATCACAGTGAGGGGTGTTGATAAAATTGTTTATTGTTTCAAATTTCGTTATTAACTTTAAGCGCAACGGAATAATGTGTAAGCAATTTCTAATCGGCGGAATATGTTTGATATTTAAAATTGACTTTTATATTATTAGACTTGTACCTAAGATTTTTATGTTTTAATTTAATGTTTATTTAATTATATTAGCATGTATTGAAAAGGACCGAGTACGGTTGAAACGTTTACCTAAATGTCAATGTAATAAATAATATTAATCTTACCTCTGAAAAAAATTTTTGCTTGTTTAACCTGGCCTTTGATTATTACTTATTACTATTAATTTTTAGTTATTTATTATATTGTTACGTCCTCGCGACGTCTCTTGCGCTGTCTCACAAAAAGATGTCACTCACACTCTCACTCGCGTCCGGAATGAATAAATTCTCGTAATGAGGAAAGGAGTTTTAATGAAACGACCCAATACAATAAAGCAAAGAAATACAATATATAATAGGCCAAAATGCCCATCGGTCTCGTAAGCGTCCGCTCGGTGCGACAGCTAGACCAAATCTAATCATGGCGCCCCAAAACATTTGAACGCCGGTTGTCTATAAACAACCCTCCTAGGAGATGAAAAGGGATGAAGGTGCTCAGGGGATGTAAACCAGGGACGTAACAATATCAATAAATTTCTTCTTTATTACATAAAATACTGCTTTAAGTATATCACTAGTTATTCCTTCTTCCGTACCTTTCTTTTTTGGTAGTTCCATAACAATTTTTTTTAACTTCTCTTTTAACCATCTCAAAATTTTCCCATTATTTCCTCGCTTTCAATAACAAAAATAATTCTTTTACCTGGACTTTCTAATTTATCTCTATCTATAGATTTTACTATGTCATCAATACTTTGTATATAATATAAATTAAATTTATCAGCTATATTGCACCCTTCAGTATTATTTAATATTTCAAAATTTATATTCTCTATTTCCCTTGTACAATTTAATTCGTCTCTTATTATTTCTTTCAAGGTTTTCCACATAGATGTCGAATTTCCCTTGTTATGATCTATCATATTTTCATAATATTCTTTTTTCTTTGTCTTGATTAGTTTAACCACTGCATCTCTTTCTATTTTAAACTGTAATCAATTTTCTTCCGTATCATCATACAACGCTTTATTGTATGCCTCATCCCTTTTAATCGCTGCTTCCTTTATTTCATCCGAAAACCACTTTTTCTTTTCCCATATTTTCGGTATTCTAAATTTTTTCCTAGGTGCTGTAATGTCCAACTCGTTTACTATATTATTAACAAATTTTTTCGCTCTGCACTGACGTTCATATCCTGGCTTTTTTCTAATTTATTTTCCATTAAATTAATAAATTTATTTACATTAAACTCTTTAAAATTCCTAGCACTAAATTTTCTGTATTTATTACTAATTTTATTCGCATTAAGATCAACTTTTAACCACGCATGGTCCGTTATTTTAAGTTCATGAATTATTTGCACTCCTATTTTATTATTAGCGTAAATTAAATCTAGAATTGTTCTACTTGCGTAATTCTCGTCAGTTTATTTACATATTGTTTCATGCCCAAGTTCAACATTGTTTGCAACTTCCTTGTATAAAACAAATCCAACATAATATCTATGTTAAAGTCTCCTATTACTATACATTCTCCTCGTATTATTAATTCTTCTATTATATCCTCCAGAAATCTCACAAAATCACCATGCGATAAACTCGGTGAATGATATATTATTGTTATCACTCCCTTATACAATTTATCTTTTACCTCAATCGCAGCACACCAACAATTCGCTTCTAACTTTTTTTATTAATACTATCTCATATTTAATATCATCCCTTATATATAAAATAACCCCTCGTGTATTTCTGTTTTCAGCATCACATCTAATCATACTATAACCTGGTACGCTTACTTCAAAGTCTTCAATTTCAGCAGTCACTCTGATTTCTGATAACGCTACAAACGCAGGGTTCATTTTCTTCATAATCTGATGCTGTATCTCGTCCTTATGCGTCATCAATTGGCACGTGGAAAATCGTGTCTGGTGCCCATTTAAGTATCATTTCGCGTAATCGTTGGCTGACGTTCTGCTGTGGTACGCGCGGAGCGACCACAATTCTTGTTACCGCGTAACCCATTATTAATAAAATTTCCAATTATTAATTTTTCCTTCTTTTGATGACAACCGCTTGTCGCCTCAGTGTTCCGGGCGTTCAAGAAAAGTCATCACAGTACATAAATACATATGCACACACACACATACACACACGCACGCATGCTTAAACGTTTGTAAATTCAGATGTCTATATTTAACATCACATCTATAATATTGATAATAAATAAAGAATATTTGTCCATTGTGAAATTCATTTTTTTTATTTATTTGTCTAAAAAATAACTAAATTTTATATATTTATATCTATTTTAAGTATAAACGGAAAAAAACAAAAGATAATTTTAAATTTAATTAAAGGTAAAGATGTTAATTT